AAATTTCAGGCCATTGGACTCACGTTTAGCAAGGGGCTGGAATTGAACTCGTTATTTTCGTGTTCAGAGTACAGTGTGCTAAACATTGGAGCACCGCTCTATCCAGTCACGATCATAATGAGTTTATGGTGAATCATAATGATCGTAGCATTAATGGTGTCATGCATGGATAAAAAGCATGGATTCAATATACCCCTCACTTCAGTCAGTAAATCTATCTTCTCAATGCTATTTTGAAACATGTTAAATGCACTACTGAATGAAGGCCTCCCTACACTATCGTCACCTTGCGATGTAATAATCCACCTTAAACATTCCGATGTTATCGCTTCATCTCGGCGATGTCCTCATCAAATATATACACGATTTGACATCAGGAACGTTCAAATGGATTCTACTGGAATTGATGCTGCGATCTATTGTTTACATGCCGTGAACTATTTACTTTGTATAACACGTTACCCGGCTTTGTTGGGTTAGAGTGAATGAATCGCAGTTTAAAGTCTGAGGCAAGGGGTTGTCTAAGCCCAATGAAGACCCGTGGGAGGGAGCACCAGCCAACACGTGTGTGAGCCGGGAGACGCCGATTCCACCTGGTATACTAAAGGCGAGAAACACGACTAAAATATGAAAAGGTAAAAACGCACCACCGTACTCATTACACAAGACTCATTTTAAATGGGTCGATTTGCAAGTTAAAAATATCAATCCCCTCGTAACCAATAATGAGGTGTTATGAGCGTGTTGAGTCCTTGTGTGTGCTCATTATGTGCTGCTTCACCAATAAAGTCTCAATGCAACGTTGCATCTGAAGGGGGTAGCTACAGTGGTTAAGAGCTCATAAACACATCCACGCGAATACAGGTGCAGTGACCCAAATTGTGGAAGCACTCGCCCGAAGCAAATGAGCGGCCAAACAAACTTCCAGGAAGTAGGCTGAGGGCCTCCCATCGGCGTCGAGAGGCCTCCAGGATAATTGGTCGGGAGACAGGGTTTTGAAGGGGGAATTGGGAAAAGTTGGGAAGCAGAATTTGAACCGAGAGGCGACGACGGCTGAGAACCGTCGAGGAAGGACGAAGATTTGCTGGAGGAAAGAAAGTGCACAGAAGGTTCGAGGGAAATGGCTCGAGAGGGATAATAGGGGGAGAGAGAGAGCACAAGGGGTGGTGGACGTTCGGGAGCGAGTACGGGCTTCGAGCCACGAGAAGAATCCGGGCCTCGAGTTGGTACCTGTGTCACACGACAAAGAGGCTCCGGGCACGCCGTGTGTCGCTTCACAGGCAATGACAACGGCCACCATTCACGGCGAAGCCGCTGGTGACCTCACAATGCCCATAGTCCAATGGCCAACGGGGTTCAATCACCGGTTGGTTAGTGAAAGCCACGTTGAGAGTTGCCCAGGTCTCGATGGTGACACGTAAAGCCAGCACGAAGATATTTGTGAGCCGCATGTAAAGAGAAGAGAGTGTGATGCCGTGTTTCCCCGACCAGTGGGAAGTGTGTGCTGGCATGGTTGGTGAAGTTGGCTCACTGCCTCGGGCCTGAGCTCGCACGGCAGCAGCATTACCAGGCCGCCGATCCAGCACCATCATCTTTTATGTGCCATGTAAGCAGCAGTTTGTATAGATGTCATAGTTGAATGTTAGTTGGTCCCTCAACCAATCTAAGGTGACGGTAGAGGCTGCGTGGATTGCAGCGGTACGGCAACATGCGGGCTCGATTGCGAGTGGCTTGTGATGTCACTGCAAGCAGAACCGGTTATGATGCCACATGGATCAATACGCAAACACTGTACCATCATTTTCATCAACTTTAAGGCTGTATTTTTTGTCATCAAAATATACTGCAGCTAATTACAACTATATATCGTTTAGCCATAAATCAATCCAAGCCTGCAGAAATTTTAGTTAAACTATTTTTTGGGGGGGTGGGGGTAAAATTGTGACATTCCAGTGAGAGAAGATAGAGGGTGGGGGTGGGTAGTGGGGGGGGGGGGTTCGAGACAACGAAGCCCCCGGGGCTCGCCAAGTCGGGGGTGTGCATTGGCGCCACTCTGTTCATCTTGGAGCCCAAGTGCGCTGTTCCTGAGCTATTGAACCCATTTACCAATGGCCAAGGAAGTGGAGCAATAGACGCCTGTCTGGTGGACCTCATTCAGTGGTATCAATGCTACCCGAGCTAGATATCTATTTATAAACACTGTGATAGGCTTGCGTATTTCTTGTGAGCAGGTTCCATTAAATGGGGGGAGGGGACTGGGAGGGCCGATTTCGATCTTGAAATGGAGTTGATGGCATGCGATGATGGGTCCTTGACCCTCAGCAGCAGCAGCAATAGTGGCGGCCGGTGCCAGTACGGGGTAGGAGTTTGGGCGGCTTCACGAGGACCACCAGAAAGAATCCCTCTTTGGGGCAACAAGATAGTAATGTAATAAACAATCACTCCAGTAACTAAGGGCCAGGAGCACAACTATGCAACTGTGCCCCCCCCCCCTCGTTTCAGCCCGACTTTTACTGAAATAGCTACGGATGTTTTTTTTTGTTTACCCGAATACAATAATACGTAGGCCATTACTATATATATTATTGTTCTCATATATTTTTTTGACATTTACCTTACCATTTTTTTACTTGTTTACCTGTTGATTCGGGGCCCCCTTGTGCATGATTGGGCTCCTATGCGTCGCATGACGCTGCCACGTACGGTCCCCCCCCCCCCACATAATTGCGCTTCTGCTAAAGGGGGGGCACTCACACGTGTGCTATTATATTAATAAAATCAAACTATGATAATAATTAAACATTTTCATTTTACATAGCGCCATCCATGCGTTCATGCCGTTGCATCCCGCAACGCTGCACATCAATTGACCAGCCCCTTACACAGATAATGCAAAAACAAAACCCCACTACTTTATTGTGCTTTATTTAACCCCTAAATTCCCTGCTGTGCAATGCTGTGCATGCACATGAGGGTTACTGTTCAGCACTTAAATAAGATGCAATTATCAACTTCTCTCCTCTCCTGTGCCCCCCCTTTTCCCCCTTCTACGCCTGCTGGCATCCATACCGACCTGTATATTTACTCACCAGCTACCACCGATCACCAGCAATTGCTAAAACAAAACCTTCAGGGAATGGCTAAAGGATGATGGGTGGCCAGGTGACACTCAATAAGGAAGGAAGCTGTGAGCGTCTTTAGGGACGCCCAGGAATATTCTGGTTTAATCCAAGTCTGACACAATGCCAAAATGAAGTACAGATCGAGGTGATAAAAAAAATCCCGTATGGCTTGATAGGGTAGAGAGGCTGATGTCTGAGGGTATTGGTCTCCCACTTCCAAGCTGTAAGGATCACTCACTCTGCTACAGATCCGCATCACCACAGTGGACGCCTCTTTGCATCGCTGCCACAAAGTCTGTCCAAATGTCGTGAAAGTGCCGGGTAAAACATGGGACGTTTAATGATGACCTTAGACTCTGATTTCACATCTGTACCGTGCAACCTTTAGTGTAAGGCGCAGACCAATTAAGAAGTGCGCTTCTTTGGAGGTGACCTTTGCAGATGTGAATGTGGTAAAAATAATTTCAATTTGTAACGGCTCAGAGGTGCGAGGAGGAACCACAGACTTGCGGCAAGGGCAGCCAGGTGGTAAGCCAGGTCCGACATTCCCCCCGCCCCCAAGCTCTGCAGTTCTATATATATACAGTGAGGGAAAAAAGTATTTGATCCCTTGATGATTTTGTACGTTTGCCCACTGACAAAGAAATGATCAGTCTATAATTTTAATGGTAGGTTTATTTGAACAGTGAGAGACAGAATAACAACAAAAAAATCCAGAAAAACGCATGTCAAAAATGTTATAAATTGATTTGCATTTTAATGAGGGAAATAAGTATTTGACCCCTCTGCAAAACATGACTTAGTACTTGGTGGCAAAACCCTTGTTGGCAATCACAGAGGTCAGACGTTTCTTGTAGTTGGCCACCAGGTTTGCACACATCTCAGGATGGATTTTGTCCCACTCCTCTTTGCAGATCTTCTCCAAGTCATTAAGGTTTCGAGGCTGACGTTTGGCAACTCGAACCTTCAGCTCCCTCCACAGATTTTCTATGGGATTAAGGTCTGGAGACTGGCTAGGCCACTCCAGGACCTTAATGTGCTTCTTCTTGAGCCACTACTTTGTTGCCTTGGCCGTGTGTTTTGGGTCATTGTCATGCTGGAATACCCATCCACGACCCATTTTCAATGCCCTGGCTGAGGGAAGGAGGTTCTCACCCAAGATTTGACGGTACATGGCCCCGTCCATCGTCCCTTTGATGCGGTGAAGTTGTCCTGTCCCCTTAGCAGAAAAACACCCCCAAAACATGTTTCCACCTCCATGTTTGACGGTGGGGATGGTGTTCTTGGAGTCATAGGCAGCATTCCTCCTCCTCCAAACACGGCGACTTGAGTTGATGCCAAAGAGCTCCATTTGGTCTCATCTGACTACAACACTTTCACCCAGTTGTCCTCTGAATCATTCAGATGTTCATTGGAAAACTTCAGACGGGCATGTATATGTGCTTTCTTGAGCAGGGGGACCTTGCCAAAATGGCCAATTTTGTTAGTACGTGATGGGATATTTGAATGGCAATTGCCCGATGATGCTGGATGTAATTACCAGCGACACGTCGTACTCAAAACTGTAAAGGATGTTGATTAACTCTTCAACACACCGGTGGGCTAAAGTAGTGAACTATTTGTCCTTTGTAAACGTGACACTTTTTTTGCTGTTTGGCCGTGTCGGGTGGTGGAGGGTTACGTACACATTTCTAAATAATGCGATCTAACCCAAAAACCTGTATTATTAATCAATTAGCGTTTACATGTGGGAGGAAACCGGAGCAACCCACGCGTGCGAGCGGGCACCACTTCATCACGCGAAGCATTAAAAAAAATACACGTCGCACGTCACGTCACGGGAAACAGAGCACAATGAATCACACAAGTCACCGGAACTTCCATGAGACCTTCTTTATTCCACTAATGGCAAACGTTTTGTTTTAAGAGAGTGAACTTATTCAGTTGCTTGGCATCTCACAATTCAACACGTTGGCGCACACTGAATACGTAACACCCGCGTCCAAAGCACAGGCTCAAACGGTGTTACGGTGGCAGCTAAGATTAGGTTTTAGGGAAAAGCCAATTTTGTTAGTACGTGATGGGATATTTGAGAAAGTGCCAAATGCAAATGTCGTAATCAGCTTGAAGCCATCATTGCACTAGATTACAGGCCCATCTGTTCGACGGTAATGGTTTAATTTATATTCGAATATTATTACGGAAATAACTAAAAACTATGCCCTGATGCGAGTGGCCTGCTGTCAGTTTGTGTAAATATAATTTGCGCATTTTAATACTTTAGAGATGTAATTACGGAGTAATCTCTCTGTGCCACGGACAATTATAATTGTTGTTTAATGCAGAGTGTGCTCGTGTGTGTGGGGGGTGTGCGGGTCTGTGTGTTCATACACCTGTACGGAACTGTGGTGTAGACGCTAAGAAGGGCTATGCTTTGATCACTGCGACCCAGAGGTTTGTCTCTTGGCCATGACACACAAATGGGTCCTGGCCTGACAATCTCACAGGTGTACTCACAAGACAATTTATTTCCTGGTGCAATGTGTCAACATCAGCCACGGGGGGGGTGGACAAAAACGAACGGGAGTTGGTCGTGCTGGCCAAACCACAGTCATTTGCATGCCTTAACACTGAAGTATCTCACTAAAAAAAGCATTTCCCCAAACGCTCTACACAACTAAACGGGGAACTATTCCTGCCTTATCATGCACCTATTTATTCACTAACACGCTACATACACTATTCTGAATGACACCAGGGGCACGATGTGCTTGCTACCTTGACTGTGCTCAGTCGCCCATTCATTTTGGTAACTGTGCACGTGCAGTGCATGCATCTGGTCATTGGCTAAACACAATCATGAGTCACAGAGCTTGTCCTTCCATTCATTTCCGGAGCTGGCAAAATCGAGCATTTGCTGCAGTGCATTAGCTCAAAATTGTTACCCGTCAGTATGGGAAAACAAAGAACACACACACTACCATGCACAAATATGTAATGCATTGTTCAAATACTGTAATCCTTAAAAGCATTCACCACTATTTAGTCAAAAAGTATTTTTTATATTGTATAAAAAAAAGTTTCGAAATTGTTTTTTTTTGTAACAAAAGCTTTTAGTCAATTAAATTGCACACAACACGACATGCTAGTGTTTTCACACTCGAATTCAGCGTCCTATATTTGACCAGGCTGAGGCCCACCGAGATTCATTCTCTTTCGCAAACGTTCGAGACGTGGGAGGGGTACCCAGGACGAGTGGTCATTATGGTTTAACAATTGGACGTGAGGGTTTTTTTGTTAGTTTGTGAATTTGGAAAAGACACCAGCTCACGAACGCGCGCTCTGGCAAAATAACGGGTTTCTTTTTAACGTTTGCATTAAAAGGTGATTTCACGCTTTGGTAATTTTCTGCTAAAAATTACCGTGAAGGAGAGGCAAGAGTGAAATTGTGACTCTACTGTACTCTGGCTCAAAGTGTGTGAATTCCGACCACTGGGGATACATATCCAGCCACCTGCTGTACAAACCATTAAATGCTGAATAAAACACAGTGCAGAGAGCAAGAGGCGACGCAAAGCAAAGCGGCACCGTGAAGGGAAATCTCAAGGCCATTTTGTTTAGCCAGGAGAGATACAACAAGAGGGCAGGATGAGTCTCACTTGCAAGAGTAACCAAAGTCAAGAGGTTTCGACCATGACGTTGTCTCACTCAACGACGCCTATTGGTTAACAGTAAACCCACCCTTCTGCATCTTTGGTTGTGACCCAAACTCCGTTGCACATAATGCTAAATTTGGTTTGAGATGAATTTCAGCACGCTTCCTCAGTAATGAGGTGAACTTAGTTCAGCGAATATAAGTTTACGGTAATATCCAATTGTTTGGACGTGGTTTAAATGTAACTAATTGCATGCCTTTATATTTATCATTCTGTTTTATATTTTAAAATAACTCATTTTACTTTATGCCTCTCTAGAACCTGTTCAAATCCCGTTATGGGGTTGATGCAGCTCATCATCCCTCCAGGGTGCATAAAATGAGTAGCGCTTCGGTGGACAATAAGTGTCGTCTTTCAATGGAAAGATTGGTCCCGCCACAAGTACAGACCTGTGTCAATCCACTGCTGTATGACGGCCTCTACACGTACTACTGTACATGTCACGGGGCTCCATCTGACCACACTTCACGATGCTCAGTGCAGGTCGGTGAAGGGGAGGCACAGACGCGGTAGCATATAAGTACGGTACAACAACTGATTTTTTTTGTACTGCCCCTGTGGCCCACTGCATAGCTCTGCCGCAGTGCATCACCAACAAAGATAATGTAATTTTAATTCTACGTACAGTTATTTTCTGTGATGGCGAACGTGTGAACCATTATTCGTCTTTCACTGGAATCTGCGCTTTTTATGATGAGTTTTTTTCTCTTGCACATTTGTCTGGACCGATTTTATATCCCGCACCTTTGCATCCGCACTGTTACACGGCGCACAATTCCTCAACCATGCTCTCATCTGCTTCACGTAACATGCGCATACACGTTTCGAATTGTGCATATGCCGCTGATGCCCTCTCACCTCATCGTCGCCTCTATTAGTCACTGTATTTATTCCAAAATTATTCTGCTTAGCCAATAAACCAACGTCCGTCGCCTTCTCTCACGGGTCTCATCAGCATCGTCTGGCTTTAGGTCTGCAACCCCGGTCACCTGCATCGGTAAACTGCATGCCCTCCTCCATCCCGGACACGTGCCCCCGCTCATTCCAACCTTCTCAACCTGATGACACGTACAACACGTTGCTTGTGTGCTCTATTCAACGTTTCAACGCTTCTCGCAATATCCTGCCGCGAAATCCCGAGAATTATCAGCAAGCATGCATTTTGAGACCGGATGCTTGTTTGATAAAGTTGCTTCGTTGGAAGTAAAACTCACCTGCTCCACACAGTCACGTACGTACAGATTACTACTACTACTACGTCAAACACCCATCTCATTACACTAAAGTTAACCTTTCTTCCATAGCGATCGCTGTGGTCCATAAAAATGCTTAGAACATACAATTGACAAAATCACTCTGCTACATGACCCTAAATGCCACTGGCCAAAACCAAAACGTAGCGTCAGTCGCTCAATGCAGGCCTCTTTTAACATTCACAGAAAGTTTTGTTTCCACATCGTTGCCGAAGTGAGACATTCATCCGGTTATCTGCATTGCTCCAGTTTGATTGGAGGAATCTGTCATGCATTCCATATTATCCACGGTTTAATGCATGCCATTTGAATCGTTCGCGAATGACTGGAATATCCATGCGATCACACATCACCTATTTATCACCTGCTTTTAACACGTACATAAATAAACACTGGAGTGTAAAATCTGATTCCTGGTAATTCTGGGCTACACATCTACGCATTGAAAAATATAAACTCTAAAATAATAATAAAAAATACATCTGTGTATGCAGTGCATGACCAAAGTATGCATTCAGTACCATTTCACAGGGGGCAAATACAAATCACGGCTGCAATTCGCCCCGCGCAATTGTCTCATAACTACTCATGCGTTAACGTTGAGCAAGACGTTTGGAGTTGCCGATGGAAGAGACCTCTCAGCAACACAGGACACACGTTCTGTCTCTCGCTCTCCGACAAGAGCGGTGTCACCGACACAACCTGGTCCCTGCATGCATTCGAATTCCGTGCACGCGTGGGAGAATGTCCGTACGAGTCCAGACGGATGGGTTTCATCGGTGTGTCACTTTCGTTAAGATGCCCGACAAAGCGAATGAAAGTATAATAATAGCAACTTGGGAAAGGATTGTTTTTTTTACACTCACTGCATGCCTAGTTTGTGTGGATTTGCATGCATGTGCGTGTAGCCTACATATTGTGTGTGTGTGTATGTGTGGGTATATACGTGTGGCCGTGTCTGCGTTGTGCGCGATGTATTTCAAACCTCACCTAGCTGCCCGTGTGGCACATTTACACGCCGTGCTATTTGCCTATTGCTACAGAAAGCAGGTAATGCCATCGTATTGCACTAATGAGGTCTATACATTTTTGCTTAATTAAAACATCTAATATTATAGTTTACTCTAGTTTATTTAAATAATGTAGCGCCAATAATATATTTGTTTCCATTTTTAAAATGACGGACCGAGCACGGCCATCTTCCCCAGACCCCTTCCCTACCCATGTCGGTTATTTGTTATTTGATCATTGTCGATCTTCTGCGGCCTCTCACATCATGTCCGCCTGTGAATAAAGCAACGCACAGTTGTATACAATTATTTTAACAAGCTTACATTTTACTTGGAGCGATTTAAACCACGTAAAGAAGACCGTATTTCTCGTTCCTATTATCATCGTCACCACGTGTCGTGATGGGTATTGCAACATCCGACGGTGTCCGTCTAGTGCTCACCAATTTGCATTGGCTTCTGGTTGCCAAACGAACACATTATGAGGTCGCGCTCATTACACGCAAAGTGCTTGCCACAAATGAACCACAATACCTTGCTGATCTCGTAAAGGAGTGTAAACCCCATCATGCAAACTCCGGTTATCCTCACAGCAGTGGCTTTTGGTTAACCGTGGAACAAAGACGGTCACCGCATCGCGTGTTTTTAGATGACCTTCTGTGGCCATCTGGAATGCTCTTCCGATATTAGAAAGCCACTGGGGCTATGCACTTTTCAATCTAGATTGAAAACTAATATCTTTAGAACTGCTTTTTGTGTTTAGTTTGCTGACTTTCCCTTGCACCTCCGATTTTCGCGGTTGACTACGTACGGTGCAAAAGGAAATTCAACATACGGTACATGTATGAGCCATCTCCCTCCATAGCCGCCCCTCCACCCCGATCCCCAATGTTTCCAGAGACGATAAATGAACGAGCACTTGCCCTGCCCATAACCCACAAACTATTCTCGCCCAAACCCTTAAAGCTCAACAAAACACACCGGTCTCTCTGAGGCTAGTTGAGTCGAAAGGATGCTAATGGGGGCTTTGACTATCAACAATCGTTGCATTGCTGATAGCCAGAGCCACTGAGAAGTGGTCGTGATGAAAAAACATTTGATCCTAGCAGACAGTGAGGCACCAGAGCGACGAAGTTAAGGCCTCAAAGGCTGCAAGAGGAGGTTGGAAACACGGGTATTAAACACATTATTTGGCGGGATCGCGTTGGCAGTGGAGCACAAGCACAGTCAACAAAGAACTCCGCGCTTCTCGTCACCAACGCTGCTGCCTTAAAGTAACAAAAGTATGCTATCAGCAACGTTAACGGGAAATTCCCCATCTTCATGGGTTTTTTGTGCTACGAAGAAGCGCCAATGCCCAAAACGTCACCGATTATGGATATACATTTTCTTATTTTAAGTGGTGCACCGTTTTTGGATTTAGTCATTTATAATTAGTTACAACAAATACATTTGCATAATAGAGTTTTTTTTTTGGGTTAGATCGCGTAATTATGAATATGTCGTAAAACCCACCACCACCCCACGCAGCCAATTAGTAAGGTTTGTCACGTAAACAAAACATTCCAATTCGTTGCGAGTACAGCACACCGGTTGTGTTGGAGAGTATACCCACGACATTTGCAATTCGAGTACGACGTTTCGCCAGTAATTACAACTCGCATGATGCGAGTGTGGGTTTACTCTGCAACACACCGGTGTGCTGTAATCATAACGAATTGGCATGTTTTGTTTACGTGACAAACCTTACTAATTGGCTGTGTCGGGTGGTGGCGGGTTTAACGACACATTTATCAAGGGTGCTTAAAAAAATGTTAACACCTATATGGGACTGTCGTTTTTAATGGAAAAAGAACGGATAATAGACTGTAACATGATAACAAATGTATGTTATAGCTTCAGAAAGTCAAAGAGTCTCCCACTTGTTCGCTATCATTGTCAACACGTGGCCTGGAGTCTTCTCTAGGTGATCTCCAGAGCCTGGAGGCAGCAACACATTTATTGTGGTGTTGTTGTGAAACGCTCAGAAGTGTTAAGCACTCTGTATTTACGCAATACAACCCAAAAAACCTCTTATGGATAATATTTGTCGCGAAAGCCTACGTGTTGATACATTTGCAGTCAATTTGTCATTCCACGATTGGATTAAGGCCTCCACACATAAATGCCAGTCGACTGGGATTGTTTGACCATACTGAACCATGTTGGTTCGTGCGGGTTGGACAAGGCTGGACCAGGATTGGTTCAGATACCACTAACCAGTGATGTTAGCCACAGCTAACATATTCTTGTATTCGTGTGTGTCATTGAGGTAAATATAGTGTCTAAAACCACAGCACACCCACAAATGGACTTCATCATCATCATCATCATCAGCTGTGATCATTCCACTGTAGGATAAAGGTCTCCCTAAACCGTCACCATCTCTCAATGGATGGCTTCATGTACTGGGAATTTTTCAGTTTTGAAAGTATATAAAATAATATAGCATACACCTGCACGAACACTTGAGTTCTAAATAGTGACTTACCATTAAACATGGAAACGTTGAGCAATACGTTGGTTAACGTTGAGCCAATGTTTATGCATGTTTACTGTGTTGGACAAGGAAAGGAGAGGGAGGACAAGGCCTCTAAAATAATGTTCCAGGTCGAGTTATAGTTCTCATAAGACGTTGTGCCAACTACAGAGACTCCTCTACTTACGAACACTCGACTTACGAACTTTCGTAGATATGAACAAACCAGGGCCGTATGTCCAGTTGCCTGTTTGGACCGAGAGTCGTAAGTTTCAACTGCCACGCAATAGATTGCGGCGGTGGCATCTACATCTGCAGAACATAAAGAACCGGTGGCATCTACAGCTACAGGAGATTATACAACTTTGAAATCCATTCCCCGTGTTTATTGTACATGCCGTACAACATGTTTGGAATCGACAGGAGTAGCGTTGGACTTACGAACAGACCTCTGGCACCTAACTCGTCCGTTAGTAGTGGAGTCCCTGTATTTATGCTCTAACTGTTAATCATCTCATTGTACATGACAGGAGGATTGGTTCCACGTACCTGAGGCTCCCCCTCCTGGGCAGGTGGCTCCACCTCCTGTTCACCTGGCTCCGCTCCTGGCTCTGCCCCTGGCTCAGTCTAAGATGAAAAGAAAAGGGATTTTTAAAGACTAACATAAATTAATTAAAGCCTTCTTAAACTTAAGGCATCCTTAACTTGATGGGATCTGTCGAAATGAATCGTGGAGCGTTGCTGTGGAGTAAAATATCTCAACAGTTAAAACATTACATTTGTTTGTAAAACGATTATATCAAAGTGCTACATTAATTCTTACAGAAAACCAACGATATTACATCGATAACTTGTAAAAAAAACCCCCATCAATACCATGAAGTAAATTTCATGAAATTATGCCAAATATCGTGCTGCCCATCCAACCCTCCATCCATTCGTAGGTAATTTGGTGCACACGATTTTGTGACTATTCATGAGACCCATTTTTTAAAATGTGTTGTTAAGTCACGTGCATTAACGTGGCAGTTAGCATATAATAAGAATACTTAAATATCCGTAATTTACCAAGATACCTCAGCGAATCTCACGACTATTTTTTTTTTAGGTGTCCTCCATTTGGATGTTTGGCCAATTCCATTTACCGAATGTTTGGCTCATGGGAGGAAAGCAGAGAAACCTGAATAAAGCGCAGGCATACAATGTGATGAGACTCCAGGAACAAGGATTCAACAAGCAACTTGCCGTAACTACCCATCTCGCGGCAACCTTGCAGCCCAACAGCTTTTGGAGTTGTACAAAACCCGGCCGATCCCCGACCACGAGGTCACTGCCACACGCGCGCGATGCTGTCGCCGACATGCCTGGCTTGCATCGCAGAGGAAGCGGCCGGCTCGGCCACGCGGCTGCTGGACCCTGAAATCTCTCGCAATGGGTCAAGTCCATCGTTCCGTCTACGATTTTGACAGTCTTCGCCGCGCTTCACTCCCAGCGGGCTCGCCGGGACACCGGATATTAGGCACTCAGTCGAGAGTGGCGCTTCAAATCACGTTTCGCCTGCCCACGCTGCGATCTCAAACTGGTCTCTTGGCACAGTGGGGTTTTTTTTTGCGCTTTAATCCAGCGCGCGAGGGTCTCCGAACGTTGATGCTGAATCTTGAAATGCGAGCCTCGAAACCGAGGGACAAGCACATTACAACTTCGCGTTTGCTCTGCTCGCCCATAAAACTAATTTTATGCGCAGAGTGTAAATTGGCTTTGACGCGCAATACACGGCGCGCGCGCGCTGACTGAGAAGTTAAACAAAGCGGTAACACATCATTAACGCCGTGGGCACATTCCAATTTTCACTTCCTCCAGTTGATACTGAAGGCCGTGGCTAAGTCGCGTGTTGATTATGCGTGTTAATGGGGTCGCAAACATGGAGCATCTAATATGTCAGATGGGACCTGTGTTCTCTGGAGACCAGCAAATCTCAATTCAAAAGAGCTCTTCCAAGCCATCACTTCAGACCAAATGAAAGGCACTCAGGTTGACATAAAAGCCCTGTGGCTGAACACTAATACTGAACAGTCAACCCTTTGGTCAGTGTATGAGGCACTCAATTTAATAAGTGGCTCTTGGGTTATGTAAGGAAAGACCGTGGGCTTCATAAGCTGGGCTTTAATGCTGGCAGTGGCTTATAGACTGAGCGAGTTGTACATTTCACGATGTGATAGGAATGTTCAGCTGATGGTGGCCATACCCGGGTAAACGTCACGTCGGGCCAACGTTGGCATGCAGTTGGAACCGCTGGCCCAACGTTGCCCCAACGTTCCACGTTTCCTGTGCAACTGAACCCAACGCACCGTGCTAAATGGTCTAACGTAAGTCAGCCTCACGGTTTAATGTCGGCGGCGCGGCGTGCGTACCGGTTCCATGGGGATGCCTGCAGCTGCGGCGACGTTCTCGGCTCCCTCCACCGTCTTCCCTGCCACCGTGTTGACGCCGCTCACGACCGCACCGCTCACAGCCTGCGCCGACTCCTTGGTCTTCTCGGCCACTGCACGGGAGGATGTGGGGGTTGTGGAGCGAGAGCCGTGGGACATTTGGCGAAGGGGAACAATTAACTGAGCTTCGTTTCATCGACCCCCTCCTCCCCCCTCCCAGAGGATAATCGAATCTGTAAATGACACAGACTCGTCATGAGACACAAAAATAGTTGCAGGCCGGAGGGACGATGGGCAGGTTGACTTCGTGCGCGGGATGTGAATTCACAGCCTTTACGACGGTGAGATCGCCGCTGCAATCACGCTGCCGTCCATGGACCGTATTTAATAATTCCAATACAGAACAAGGGGTTCCGTTTCGAGGATTGATAAGTCAATGCGTTAATGCTGGCTGGAACGTTTATAAGGGTCAGGGGGTGAACTCGCAATCTACTCACACGACGGGTGACACGGTAATCAATTTCATGCAGCTTGACCCATATTACAGTTGGACAAACTTTCGGTAATGGAAGACAAAAAAAATGTCTTAAATTATTAAAAATGTACAAACACCTTGACCTGGTGGCTCATGACTAAGCATGCAATCATCCTTCCTTGTGCCTCGCCACTTTATCAAATGTGCACAAAGTGTTTAAATAATGAACGAGTCGTGTTATTCTCCTCATGGTTAATTTAGCATGTTTTGTACAGGACAGGGTGCCGTATAATCCAGCTAATGTAAATCCGAAACGTTTAAGAGTACTCATTTTGCAATTAACATGCACTGTTAAAGTGCCGAGGGGCACGCAGTGAGCACGTACCTGTGTTAACGCTGTTCACAACACCTTCCTTGGTTTTGGTGCCTGGCAAGCACAACAGTTTGAATGGTTAAACTCGATTAAACGCATTGCGTACACTTCATAAGAAATAATGCGGCAAAAAAAACGACTGATTTAAAAAAAAAACAGGTCACAAACGCATATATTTTTTTAAGGCGACGCTAGCGACGAGTGAGTTGAGGTTTGTTGCTGATGTTGTTGTCGATCGTGCTTGTTGTGCACTGCTGCCAACGCAGCAGCAGCATCAACACCAAATAATGTATCTAATGTGTCAAATAATGTATCTACATATCTGATCGGGTGGCAGTGAGGTCAGAGCACTCGACTCACAATCGTAAAGGTTTGCGAGTTCAAATCCAGGGTATTTAACGTTGCTCACTGTGCTTATTGAGGTTGACAAAAAGCCTGACAGTTTGTAAGAGTCTAACAGCAGTTGTCCGATCCGTACAGGCTCCTGGCATGGGAATGTGGAATTGACACCATAGACTAAAGGGCCCACTCATGTAAATGTACCCCCCTCCACTGCTTGTTTGATCAGGGATTCATATTGACTTTGACTTGGCCATATGCTTACGTCTTAATAGGATTTGAAATTACAAATACTAACACTGTGAACGTGGCACAAAGAAGCAATGATGGATCGCTGTGTCTCCTGGATTGTTGGTCAGGAGTACTAATGGCTGTACAGAGGATTACATCGTACTCAATCATAAAACGTTTAGAAATGTTAACACTCGGAGCGGGAATATGCCAAATTACAAAGGACACTAAAATTTACGTGGTGATGTTTTTTTGTTTTACCACGGTAATAGACCGAGACCAGTAGCTTGTTGTTTCTGAGAAACTGATTTAATCGTGGCCAGTTACCTTGCATCCAAACCTCGGCCCTGAAGGGAAGCTGCCTCAATTCGCTCTGACACGATACTCTCACTCTGAACCACCTCGGCCTTAAACGAATTGTGCGTGTTCACCACTTGCGCGTCGTAATGCATTCAGTTAGTAAGCACAGTCACAGCTACGGCACAGGGAAGCTCCTCGATACTTGTTTTGAAAGATAAAAAACGCGAATATTCTACTGGGAAATGTATGATGTTAAACATTTTTTTTTTTCACGAAACAGAGGAAAAAAACAAAACCCCCAACTGCATCTTTCTTTTCGTTGGCAAATACACACGGCTCGTTGAAATTCAAGTCGACACAATGCATCCGTGCTCAAACGTGGGCGCGAGGCCGGTCTCGTCTCCATTGGCGACTCTTTAGCCAGAGATAGAAATTCCGCATTTCTGTGCCAGGGGCAAGTCTATCTAAAGTAAATCAAAATGTCAACTGCCGATGAACTTCAGTGAGACTGGTACTCATGACTTTGTCCCCGAGAAAATGATTGGCTGAGCCAATTACATTATAATTATGATACAAGTATGCCAGTTACTCGAAATGTGTGCCCATGTCAAATTTGAAAGTCAGCTATAAAAAATAAAAATCAAGGTTCTGAATGAGAAACATTAGGCCGCAGATTTACTTACAATTGCAACACTGCAGCCGCAAAGGGCTTTTTTGAACTCTTTGACAGTGCTTTAACTTAATGTTTTACCACCAAAATGTCCCTCAGAGGTCTAAGTTTCAACAAGTATGGTCCTATAAGTGTTATAGGGTCACACAGTACTTGTTCCGGTGAGGCTACTATAGGTGTTATAGGGTCATACAGTACTTGTTCCGGTGAGGCTACTATAAGTTTTATAGGGTCATACAATACTTGTTCTGGTGAGGCTACTATAAGTGTTATAGGGTCATACAGTACTTGTTCCGGTGAGGCTACTATAAGTGTTAAAGGGTCATACAGTACTTGTTCCGGTGAGGCTACTATAAGTGGTATAGGGTCATACAATACTTGTTCTGGTGAGGCTACTATTAGTGTTATAGGGTCATACAGTACTTGTTCCGGTGAGGCTACTTTAAGTGTTATATGGTCACACAGTACTTGTTCCGGTGAGGCTACTATAAGTGTTATAGGGTCATACAATACTTGTTCCGGTGAGGCTACTATAATTGTTATAGGGTCATACAGTATTTGTTCTGGTGAGGCTACTATAAGTGTTATAGGGTCATACAGTACTTGTTCCGGTGAGGCTACTATAAGTGTTATAGGGTCATACAGTGAGGCTACTATAAGTGTTATAGGGTCATACAGTACTTGTTCTGGTGAGGCTACTATAAGTGTTATAGGGTCATACAGTGAGGCTACTATAAGTGTTATAGGGTCATACAGTACTTGTTCCGGTGAGGCTACTATAAGTGTTATAGGGTCATACATTACTTGTTCCGGTGAGGCTACATTGGAATTGGTTTATTTCTGTAGCAAGAGAAATGTCCAGACATACACACATGCACATCGTAAATACTTTTAATTGCACACAAATGACTGCTTAAGTAGACATAAAAAAACTAAAAGTGGCTTCTTGTTTCTCACAAATTGTTTGAGGCAAAGTGAACATTAAAAACCCTGTTGTGTATTTTTTCAAGAGAATGCCATTGTGCGGTAGTGTCACACAACGTTCATTTCCTCTTGACGGCCCTGAGAGTGCTTTCGTTTTAGCAGTCGATTATCCATTGTGACAAAACAGTAATAAATGCACAATAAACATGCCCTCTTATTCTCGGTTCTTTCGGTAAAGTCACGTTGAAGGGAAACAATAAAATAAAAAAATATATAAAACAATGAAATTCTCACGACGTTTCGACTGTAACACAAACAGTCATCATCAGGTGTGAAAACCAACGGCTTTCACACCTGATGTCGAAACGTCGTGAGAATTTTATTGTTTTATATATATTTTATTATGTTATTGTTTCCCTTCAACGTGACTTTACCGAAAGAACCAAGAATATGAATCACTGCAGTCACGAAAGCTTTAAATCAAAATGTAAACATGCCCTCTGTTGTTGTACAGCACCCAATATCTGCAGTCGTATCTAGACGCTATACACATTCTAACTGTATCACATATATATTTTTTCAAATGTGTTTCAAAGTATCGTCTGCCTGCTCTAAAGAGCATGGGATGGTCCCCATTTTTCCTTGGCAGCCCTGAGCCAGTGGTGGAAAATGTTACGTGTTTATGATGGGAGCCAGTCTAGCTGTATCACAACCATCGTTAATGTCCTACAGAGCGGTAATCATTATATTGACTCCAGAGGTATCAAGGACATGCCTCTTGTGAGCCACTCACTCTAATCACTTACAGTACTACCTGGCCAGATGAAATATTAATTATTATATATAAATAAGTTGCAGAACATTTTCAAATGAGACCTGAGCTACAATACTATAGAAAATACATAAACACGATATTGACAACCGTATTCACTCTACAGCAAAACCATCTGTCTGGTGAAATTACCCAGTGGCTGTGGCAGGGATTGAACCTTTGACGCTTCACAAGGTGGCCCAGCGGTGAGCGTCGTGCCAACTTCGAGGCTTCCCATGTCGCCATGGGCTTTGTCACATGAGATTCATGCCTTTGCAGCTCAGAGTAGAGGCTTACGTCCGTGTCTTGACAATAAATTAAACATGCATGACAACACGCCACCACACCAAATGAAATATTGACTGTATCGACTTTAAGTATTTGTTATTTCCCAGGTCATTGGCATGGATGCAGTTCGTTTGCCAGTGCAAGTCGCATCCTTATTTGGAACATAGAGGAAGGACGCTCATTGAATCACCAAATGTGATTAAACATCCACCCTATTGACAGGTAGTGGGATTTCAGAAGCAATGTATCCTGATCATATTTGTTTAAATGAGGAAAATCCTGAGCTGGTTTTGACTTCACCGAGTCTAAGCAGCAGGTTGTGTCCACTGCAACAGAAGCTACTGGTGGATAATTTTCATGAACTTTCCAGAATTCTGCTGGGTGTTGTTGTGAATAGACCACACGACTGACATTCAGATGGTTGTGAGTTAAAATATTTATTTGTGGATCAACTCAGCCTAACATCCTTCTGGGGGGGGGGGTCAACAAAATCATTAGCACTTTGCAGGACGTCAATAGCCGTTGTTACATGCTCAAACTGGCCCCCGCCATAGGAAGGGAGAATTTCCACCACTGGCTCAGGGCCACTAATGCAGCCAAAGCATCACCTCACGCTCTGGACACCTTTAAGCAGGACAAAGACAAAGATCCCCCATGTGACTTTTAGCAGACTGTTGGGGCAAGTGCTGTTAGCGAGCACCCTAGGAAGATCGGCACGGCACACGAAGGGAGTGAGTGGCCAGCACCACGCCCGCCCGCCTTTGTCTCCCCAATGCTGATGTTTACACACCACACCAGGTACTCATTTCAGTCTGAGTTGACTTAGGGGAAGCACACGACCAGTTCACATATTCACCACTGTTATTGGTGACGAGCGGGAATCGAACTTGGGTCACCGTAATGCGCTACCCACGTAAAGACGCTATTAAACACACTATAATGGGGTACTGCATTAGCGTCGCAATGATATATCACTTGGTGGTGTAAAAAGCAAATCCATAAAATAACAGCACAGGCTCAAGCACCCTCCTGAATTTACATACTTACATACGAGTTCCTAACATTTCGTGAACGAGTCAAAGGTCTGTGCTAACAATACACAATTGCAAAGCAGGAAACTTTCTGTTGGCATTCAGTCATTTTCCAGGCTCTTGCTGCTGGTTTGGTCACCTGCAATGGCATGCAGTGAAGTAGTTACTGGTGCCCGTAGGACACAGCGTGACATACGTTTACTAATTTGACTTTCAAAATGTGAGATAAATTAGAATCCATTAAAATGTCTACCTTCGAGACTCCTTATCAGGAGGGTCCAGCAAACCTGTCAACCCCTTGTCAGTGCCCTGCCTTATTACAGACCAATTCAGACCTTATTGGTCACCCCGTGCCCTGATCAATCTCAACGTTCATCCTACAAAGTCCCATCACAAGGGAGAAACACAAAAAAAGACAAAACATTATTTTGCCCGTATTGAAACGTCTGTACGCCGTATG